CGGAACAAATATATAGGATTGAAGAGAACTAGGTAACCATGTAAGCTTAGTGAACAAAAATTGTTCTTCTTTTCTCGGAACATAAAGATGTTAAGAGTTTGAGCAATAAAATGCCTTTAGGGTGTACGTTTTGTTCTGTGAAACATGACTGTTATTCTATTTTAATTAAACATATAATTCTTTTACATCTATATCAAACATATATGGTGTACACTGTTTACGTCTATATCAAACAATTGCCAACAACTAACAATTTTATGTACGAAGTCATAACTGTGCAAAATCATTTGCACAAAAAATCAGTTTTAAGGTGCATGATCGCTTAAGAGATCCGTGATACCGCTTAAGCGATTCCTCTCTGTTTCGCTCGGTCGATTAAGTGATCGTAGATCGCTTAAGCGATCATGTGATGGGAAAATTCAAAATATGTTTTAAGGTGCATGGTCGCTTAAGCGATCACGCATGATCGCTTAAGCGATTCTGCTCTTTTTCGCTTGGTCAATTAAGCGATCTTATATCGCTTAAGCGATCATGTGATGGGCAGATTCAAAATCTGTTTTAAGGTGCATGATCGCTTAAGTGATCCTTCATAATCGCTTAAGCGATTCCGCTCTTTTTCGCTTGGTCGATTAAGCGATCTTACATCTCTTAAGCAATCATGTGATGGGCAGATTCAAAATTTGTTTTATGGCGCATGATCGCTTAAGCGATCCTTCATAATCGCTTAAGCGATTCTTTTCTTTTTCACCTGGTCGATTAAGCGATTTGATCGCTTAATCGATCATGAAATCTGCCCATCACATGATCGCTTAAGCGATTCATGATATCGCTTAAGCGATTCCTCTCTTTTTCACCTGGTCGATTAAGCAACCTTTGATCACTTAAGCGATCATGTGATGGGCAGATTCAATATCTGCCAGGTGCATGATCGCTTAAGCGATCCGTGATATCGCTTAAGCGATTCCTCTCTTTTTCACCTGGTCGATTAAGCAACCTTTGATCACTTAAGCGATCATGTGATGGGCAGATTCAATATCTGCCAGGTGCATGATCGCTTAAGCGATCCATGATATTGCTTAAGCGATTCCTCTATTTTTCTACTGGTCGATTGGGCGACCTTTGATCGCTTAAGCGATCATGTGATGGGCAGATTCAATATCTGCCAGGTGCATGATTGCTTAAGCGATCTGTGATATCGCTTAAGCGATCATGTTATGGGCAAAATAGTCTATTTTAAGGTGCATGATCGCTTAAGCGATGAGTGATGTCGTTTAGGCGATCCTGTATGAACAACCTTTTGTCGCTTAAGCGATATACTTAGTCACTTAAGCGATCATGGGCAATACATTCTTTTCCATCTTTTCTCTTGAATTTTGACAAACTAAGATTAACAACACATATTAATTCCATATAACAAGAAATATAAAGAATGATTTATTAAAGGTAACAATAAAATTTAAAACATCAATAATTGAAAACAATAACTCATCAACGGTTGGCCTTTGCAACTCCCTGAATTTCATCTTTCTTCGAACCTAATTATCTGGATCTACATGTGATTACTTCTGGCAACTGCTTCTCTTGTGGCCAGATTGTTTGCAAATTGAGCACTTATTCATCTTTCGGGGAACCTCAAAGGCTGATAAAATACACTTAACTCTTTTTCTCCCCTTTGGAGTCTTCTTGAATGGCGGCTGGATGATAATGTCAGCCATCTCTGGTGACACTACCCACTGCTCTTCTGGAGGCACCGGATATATCGTTTCTAAATAAGCTAGCATGTAGTGATCTGTCATATAGAGAGGGGAGCAAAGTTCCATGTAAATTCTTGAACCAAAATCCGGCTTCCGTTGGTGTTTCAGTGCCGCTAGTGCATGAGGACAAGGTAAACGTTGAATGTCAAGCACCTTACAGCTACAAGTTTTTCTAACAAGGTTAACTACGGCATCCGCACCATATCCGCGTACAGTGAACTCTTGAGCATTAAAAGGATAGGCAAACAGTGCATTTGACAGTTCCATTCGTTCTCGCAATATTTTTTCAACTGACGGAACAAGGGTTGTAGTAAAATTATCTGACTTCGTACAACGCTCATGGAACCACCGCGACAATGTCCTCTAGATTGCATCAAAAAGTGCAACTATTGGAAACTCTCTTTCTATTAACAACTTCAAATTTATGGACTCAGTTATGTTCGTGGTCATGACATCAAACATTCTTCCAGGAAAATAAGCTCTACTCCATTGCTCAAAACCAACATCACGCTCAAGATACTTAGCAACTCTATCATCCTTGATTCGGATTTGTTGGAAGTGCTCCTCAAACTTGTCAATCCGATAAGCTTTTGCTACCATGTAGTATGTCTGAAGGAGGCCAGCACACTTAAACTTTTGTTTTATGTTCTCACCAAGGTGCCTTATACAGAATTCGTGATGTGCTTGACGGTAAATAGTGGCAATCCCCTTCTTTATAGAGTTGTGCCTATCGGATATTATGCACAACTCATCACTGTCAGGCACTATCGTACGTAAATGATGAAAAAACCAAGTCCACGACTCATCATTCTCAGAGTCAACCACACACCATGCAACAGGATATGTGTGATTCTCGCCGTTCTGTGCAGTGGCCACCAATAATGTACCTCCATACTTTCCCTTTNAAAGGAGATTCAAAGAGACTTGTTTCAATCAATTTTGGGATATGGACACAAAATGGAAAAAGACATTCTAGGGGTCGGGAGTGCATTATATGTTGCTACACTCAATAAAACACAAAAAAAAGTATGAAATGTGGTTCTTGGTTGATGGAAAACCTCGGGATGATGGAATATGCATTGGTGACTAGCTTAAGATGTGGGGAATTGCCAGGTGAGGTTGAGGCAAAAGGTATTACGAGGATTTATGAATCTGGAGCAGCGGAGGTTACACATGAAGATAAAGGCACTTTCACAGTTAATAGACAGAGATTGAACCCATACATTGATAGGGTGCTGAGTTGCAATTTTATCCCAATCCGGCTGGACATCCTAACTTAAAGGATGGAGAGAGTCAAGCTATCGACTATAAACAAGCGCTTCTTGGGAGGCAACCCAAGCGTTGACCCAAGCGTTGTTAACTTTTTGTTTTCATTTTGGTTGTTGATTTTGTTTAAATTCAATTCTAGTTCTATGAATTTTTATGTATTGTTTTTGGGTGTTTCAAGTGACGTTTTCAGCAAAAGACAGGAATCCAAATGCTCCAGGAGTTGCTGCGGCGAAGATAGTTCTTCTTCGGGGCAGAGAAAGATGAGAAAAATAGAGTATTACTCCTGCAGGATTTAGCCCCGGCGAAGAAATGAAAATAATTTTGAGAAATTTTTCTAAGGCATTTCGCCGCGGCGAAGAAATTTACTTCGCCGGGGCGAAATAAGCCTTGCATCCTCAGGTTGGTTTTGCTCTGGTGAAGAAAATTTCTTCGCCGCGGCGAGACCTGGGAATTTTGTTAGGGTTCATGAATGATGAACGTCACCGCGGCGAAGAAGCTTTTCTATAAATACTCGCTTTACCTTTTTCATTTTCACGCCGCCTTGCATTTTGAGTTGAGAGAAAATTTTTCAAAGTTCCGTCTTTTGTTTCCATTTTATTTTTCCAACCAAAATTCTCACTCCATAACATCCCTAAACACCAAGACAACCCTTTTCAACAACAATTTTCGCGAAAATTTCACGAAAAGTTTTGGATAAAAAATTTGGGGCTTTCCAATCTGGGTCGTTTCCGGTTCAATTGGTGGTGCACACTCCTTCATTTTGGTAAGATCTCAATAACCCAAAGNTAAATAATGTAAATGATAAATATTTGTGAAATACCTTTGGAAGCTTCCACCCTATAAATATGTTTTGATTGTGTAATTTCTTAAAGTTTGTAAATTATGAGTTTGGATCCTGCGTGACATTTTAAATGCATGTTTTGGATATTATTATTATTATCCTTACACAGATTTTTTCTAAATACAAGTTGTTCTCCAGACATGTATCCTCGAGATTCTCATTGAGGGATATTCAGAGGATACCTGACTGGAGGGGGGTTTTACATTTGGTATTAGAGCAAGTATTTTGTAACTTTTAAAAAAAAAAAAAGGGGTGTTTTAAGATGTTTTCCATTACGGAGTTAGGCATTTATGAAAGTCGATGACAATATCCCTCATGTAAAGTTCCGCTGCTCAAGTTGTCCAATCGCTGTAAGTATGTTTACTTGATTAACATTATATGTGTGACTGTGATAGGGAATAAATATGAGGAAAACCAGGAGAACAGATCCAGGTCGCAGTGATGCTTCAAATGCACAAGATGTTCCAACTGCACCTGAAGCTACTAACCCAACAGATGCTACTTCAAGCACTCCGAGTTTAGATGTTGCAACATTGGAGCGTATGATCCAAGAGGCTGTTAATAGAGCTTTAAGGAAAACCCTGCCAGATAGTACAAGTACTCCGGTGACAACAATGACAATCAATGTGGTACCAAGTCAAGCAATAGGGACGAGTACTCTAAAAGCAATGGTTGCCCCAAAGTAGATTGAGCCAATTTATGGCCTCTCAAGTAAACATCAGCCTCTAGAATTTAGTGGTACTAATGATCTAGTAGTAGTTGAACAATGGATCAAGTTGGTGGAGAAAGCTACTACTCTATTTCCTATGACAGATCAAGAGAAGATCCGGTATGCTACGTACCTGTTGAAAGGAGATGCTATGACATGGTGGGAGCTTATGGAGCAGACTCAAGATACCACCACTCTCACTTGGTTAGGGTTCAAGGAATTGTTTGAGGAGCAGTACCGGATAGTAGACATGATATCCTCAAAACTACAAGAGTTTATCAGTCTGCAGCAAGGAAATATGACGGTCAAAGAGTATTCAATCAAGTTCAATTCCTTGGCTAAGTTTGCACCCACACTGGTCAGTACACCACAGACCTGATTGGAGAGATTTGTGGGGGGACTTCATCCCACTATTGCCAGAGATGTTATGTCGGGTCATCAGCCCTCCCAAACATATAGTGAAGCACTCGCCAGAGCCATCAGAGCAGAGGTGTACTTACGGAAGGAGACCAAATTAGCTCTTTCCCCGACAGTGGCAAGTAGTCCTCTCCAACTTGGTCAATCCAATAGTGCAGAACAAGTTGTTGGCAAAGACGATAAGGGTAAAAGCAAGAAAGGAGTCTTACCTAAAGCCAACAGGAAGGACATGAAGAAAAAGGGCCAACAAAGGAAAGGTGAGGTCAATTACTATAAGAAATGTCGGAGAAGACACCGAGGTGAATGTCTAGTGGGGACCAATGTTTGTTTCAGATGCCACCAGCCAGTTCATATTGCTAGAGATTGTCCCATTGGTTCTACAATTTCAATACCTGTAGTTGGAGGCACGACAGCCAGGGTATATAATGTGGCCCAGATGCAGGCAGATGCCAGCCCTTCAGCAGTCACTGGTCAGTTATAATTCCACGATACTCCCTTGTGTGCCTTGATTGATTCAGGTGCTAAACATTCATTCATATCATATGGAATGATTAAGAGATTAGGGTTAATGCCTATTAGAGTAGAACAAGCCATTAGGATTGAATTGCCTGATGGTGAGGGTGTAGTGACCAATGAAGTCTTAATGGAGGAGTTAGTGAAAATTAAAGGACGAAATATGATGGTAGATTTGATTGTCTTCAATATGCCAGACTTTGACATCATTCTTGGGATGGACTTTCTTAGTAGATATGGAGCAGAGATAGACTGTCGTAGGAAAAAAGTCAAGTTTAATCTAGACTATGGGGATAACTTCATTTTTGGAGAAGGACACCCAACTAGCATGATGATAGTGCAACAAAAGCTAGGAAGATGTTGAAAAAGGGGTGTTCTGGGTATATCGCCACATGTAGTAAATAAGGGAGAGAGAAAAGCTAGGTTTGGTGGATGTGTCACGTTTGGCAATGTAAAGCTAGTTAGGAAGAAAAGAAAAGAGAAATAGAATCTGGAAACACCAGAGCAAAAGATGCCCTAGGGCGAAACATGACAATCAAGCAAGGAGCTATCAGTAAAATTCATGTTCGATGCTAGTAAAGTTACTTGAAGTTAGTCTTGGCAATATTATGGCAGCAAGAGAAATGCTGTTAGTTATCCACCACATATATACCAGTGTCGGACAATCACAAGCACAAGATCCCAATTTAAACAAGGTTTTTCATTTTTATGAGTGAAACCCATAGACAAACACATAGAAACTATGCAACAGAAAGTCAAAACAAGGATAGCCATTCATCATTATGGTCATGAAGCAGAACCAGGGTGTTTGCTATGGGAGAGAAGCCAATCGCTGGCAGGCCTTGGTTGCGGAAGTAGCGAGCATCTGTGGAGGCGGGAAAGATATCAGGCTTACAAGTTTTCCATTAGCATTTAACAGCATCCTCCCAAAGGCTCCACCATGGGTTTGAACTATCGGTCGCTGTTAGCAGGGGTTTCCAAACTTGTTGTGTATAGAACCTTTCTGCTTGAACTGTCAAAGCAAGTATAAGATAAAACTTCAAGTCATTTGACAAAGCATAGAACATCTGTAATAGTTGAACCAAATAGCTTTCTCTATTCAGTGACCAATAGAAAATGCACACTTATCCTTTATGTAATAGGGAGACTTCATATACTAATACTAAATATTCAAAAGGGAAGCATCATTTTGTTGAAAACTTCTCATGCAGAGATCATCACAGATAGCAAAGACAAAGGCAAGCATTCTTTCTTGCACTACTGAAATGATATGAATAGGTAAGAGTCTTAAAGAATTATCAGTACTTCAAATGTCATATTGCATGAAGCAGGTGCCCATTCTTCAGCAATTCGTCTTTCCAACACTTCTACATCTACAGTAGGAGGGACCCGAATATCAAGACTTGCTTCTGCTTCAGATGTTGCAAATTCATGACAAAACCCTGGTAGATAGAAAGAAAAAGGATATTCATTTCAGAAGCTAACAGCATATCATTTTAATATTTGATGCTTAGATTCTTGTGGAAAATATAAATGATCATTCCCTTTTTTTTTTTTTTTTTTTTTTGTCATTGTATGTTGAGAACAATAGCAATTGTTGAAGACTATTATGCATTGTATCTTGAGGAATACACCATATTTGTTTTATGCCTGACATTTATATCTCCATTTACAATAGGTAGACAAAAATGTATATTATCACAGGCTTAAAATTTCCATTAGCAAAGAAACTCATAAAGTGGGTGTTGCGATTATAGAAAAGTTACGAATACATCAAATAAAACTCTCAAAATCCAAAGTAGAGCATAATTAGTTTCTTAAATTATTCATTATACTATATAATAAGTAACAAAAGCAATACTAATTAATCTAAAACCACATTCCAAATAGTAAAAGAACTCACAGTAGGTGATGGGTTGCCAGCTTTAAGAAATACAATGTTAACCGAAATGACCTCCCCTTCACCCTTCAACCCAGCCTTCACCAAATCAAACTGTGAAGCTCTAAACCTCCTCACACTCTCAATGCTCTTAAACAAATTCTCCATCGCACTGTTATCATACAGCTTTGCGCCATGGCCTGGAGCCCCCTTAGCCTTAATAGCCAGCCACCAAGGTCCCTTCTCTGCATAAAATGCCTTGTAATTTTCATTGGGAAATGGAAGACCTGAATTCCAAAGTAAATTTTTTTTTTAAAGAAATTACTAATACAAAAGCAAAACTTAAAAGTTTTTAAATAAGGAAAACATTGATACCAACATAAACATTCATTTTTATTTATTTATTTTTTTTTTTAACCTTCATTAAGGACAATACCAACATTCAAGTTTTCGAAGATGTCAGACTCTGCAAACTTCTCAACTCCATCATGACCTCCAATCTTTTCATCAACAGCAAAAGCCAAGTAAACAGTTAGAACAGGCTGAAAGCCACCTGCCTTCAACTTTCGAATCACCTCTAAGTATTGCATCCCAACGCACTTCATGTCCTGGGACCCTCTGGCGAAGATATTTCCCTTCGAATCCAGGTGGGCCCTGAAGGGGTGGTAGGACCATTTTTTCAGCTCAGACGGAACGACATTGGTGTGTGAGTAGAGGATGATGGAGGGTAGGTAAGGGTTGGAGCCGGGCCATTTGAGAAGAATGATAGGTTTCTTTTTAGCGAGTTCGAAGGTCTGGGATTCTAAAGAGGAGGAAATTTAACTCCCAGGCCATCCAAAGTTTGCATTTAACAAAATAGCCTTGAAACTGTTTTTTAATTTTTTTTAATTTAGAGAAGATGACGTGGCATAGTTAGGATTAATTAAACACATAAAAGGGGTTAAAATGAAAAGATTAAAACGTATAAGGAAACAACCATAATTAATGAAAGTTTTTAAAATTTGAAATTTGAAAAAGAGCCCCAGCCATTCAAATCACTTAATCGAAACTGACTGAGGCAAAAATCGATTCTTCAAACTATAAATGCATTCTGCGTAATTTCCGGTGATAACAGTCCACATTCCTACAAATTCTCAACCATAAATGCATTCTGCGCAATTTCTGGCGATAATGTCCACATTCCTACAAACTTTCAAACCCAAATTCAATCCTAAAGCTTCTTCCTTTCTTAAAACAATGGTTGACATTCACAATGACGAAGAAAACCCAACGCCTCATTGAATTGTAGAGTTCGGCGGCGCAAGTAGTTCAATGGCTGCTCCGGTGGATGTTCCGATCAGTGAAGGTGTTCCAGCAGCGGAGATGACAGTGGCAGAACAAGAGAGAGAACAGGAGCAAAATGGTTCTGGTGAGGAAGAGGAGGCCGGCCAGAATTCAGGCAAGGAAGAGGAGTCCGACGAGAGTTCAGGCGAGGACGAGGAGGAGGAGGCCGCGGAGGAGGAGGAGGAGGTCGCTGATGAAAAGGTATCTGTACTATCGTTTAAGCGATAATGTCCGAAGCATACTGAACATCTGACAAGAACTAAGATCGCCTAAGCGATCTTATCTATCACTTAAGAGATTGATGGCTTTTACTCTTTGTGGCTTAAGTAATTTAGGATCGCTTAAGCGATCTTAGGTCTAGCAGATGTTGATTCTGCCTCGTAGAAGATCTCTTAAGCGATCTGTAATCGCTTAAGAGTAAAAGAGTTGAATTGCTTAAGAGTAAAAGAGTTGACTCGTTTAAGCGATACTATGTATCGCTTAAGCGATCTTAGAACTGGTAGATGATTCGGCCTCGTAGATCTCTTAAGCGATCTGTAATCGCTTAAGCAACCCAGAGTAAAAGGATTAATCACTTTTACTCTTGGTCGCTTAAGCGATTGCAGATCGCTTAAGAGTGAAAGAGTTGAATCGCTTAAGAGATACAAAGTATCGCTTAAGTGATCTTATACTGGCAGATGATTCTAGCTCGTAGAAGATCTCTTAAGCGATCTGTAATCACTTAAGCGACCCAGAGTAAAAGTCATTCATCCCTTTACTATGGGTCGCTTAAGCGATTATAGAGTAAAAGCGATGAATCGCTTAAGCAATACTTTGTATCGCTTACGCGATGTAAGATCTAGGCAAATGTTGATTTTGCCTCGTGTAAGATCGCTTAAGAGATCTGAAATCGCTTAAGCGACCAAGAGTAAAAGCGACGAATTGGTTAAGTGATCTTATATATCGCTTAAGCGATTCTTCACGTTTACTCTTGGTCGCTTAAGTGATTTCAGATCGCTTAAGCGATCTTGCACGAGGCAGAATCATCTGCCCATCGCTTAAGCGATTCTTCTGGAGCGTATTTTGTTTATATTTTATTTGGTTAAATTTTTTTGGTGATATTCTGTTTATATTGATTGTGCAAATTTTCCAGAGCATAAACTTTAGAGAGTATGGGTTGGAATGTGTAAGCGATACGGTACCATACTTCCCTGTGTAAGTGACAGTGAGGTCAAGTTGGGATGTTTTAACGAGAATAATGGGGACTTTACAAACACTGAGGAATGGTGAAAGGAGATTCAAAGAGACTTGTTTCAATCAATTTTGGGATATGGACACAAAATGGAAAAAGACATTCTGGGGGTCGGGAGTGCATTATATGTTGCTGCACTCAATAAAAAACAAAAAAAAGTATGAAATGTGGTTCTTGGTGGATGGAAAGCCTCGGGATGATGGAATATGGGTTGGTGACTGGCTTACGATGTGGGGAATTGCCAGGTGAGGTTGAGGCAAGAGGAATAAAAGACAGTCCGACAGCCAAAAGGTTGGCTAGCAAGGTTTTGGCGAGGAACACGTCTATTAAGGCACAGGAATTAGACGGAAGGTTAATAAATGGTGGGTTTAACGATTCAGAGACGTTCAAACTGTGCTTGGTATTGTTCTTACATTCAATCCTAATGGCTGGTGACTCAACAAAAGCCATTGATATTGATTGGGTGATGTTTGTAAGCAACTTGAATTTCTTTAATACTTATCCATGGGGACAACTATCATTTAAGCAAACCATGGAGTCCCTGCAAGCAAAAGACCTGACGTCAAAGCACTCCCAATGGACGAAGAAGGGTAGAAAGGCCACGTACAATTTGTTTGGCTTCCCATGGGCAATGCAGGTAAATATTAATAGCTTTTTGTTATATTTTTTTTAATATATGTGTTTGAATTATGATATGGACTGTTTTTTTACAATGTAGGCTTGGATGTATGAGGCCATCCCTGTCCTGGATAAGGCAAGGGGGAAGATTAGGTCTTATTCGGTTGTGCAACAGACATTTCCTAGGATGTTGCGGTGGTAGGACCAAAAGTGTACCCATTGGGATTATGAGCAAATAGAGATTCAAATTCAATCAGCTCGGGTAAGATTAAAGGATTAAGCTTTTGAATATGCACTTGCTTTAAAATGTCGCTTAAATCTGATTGATTTTTTTTCTTATTGCACGAGGTTGTCCATCCCTTCCTCACTGCTACTGGGGGTGAAGCGCAACAGGACTATGTCACATCTTTCCTAGCACTGGAGGATGAAATGGATGAAGGGATGGACTACCTGGCGCGGGAGCTACAAGGGGTCACACATGTGAGAGCAATTGCATGGCCACTGCTTGAGAATGTGGTTGACGCCGAGGAGGATGAAACAGCAATCGGCGGGAGGGAGGAGGAAGGGAGGGAAGAGAAGGGGAGGGAGGAAGAGGTTCGTATGCCTCAACAAACCGGTACAACAAGTACCACTTTGCTGAGGCGTGCGGGTCAGAAGAGTGAGGTGGTTGACCTCATTAACACTTTGTTTGATAGTTTTACAACAGCTGTTTATGGAGAGTTTGATAGGATGGAAGAGGAGTTGAAAAGGGTGGAAGAGAAAGTGGATAAGGCGGGAGAGAAAGTTGTTAGGGTGGAGGAGGAAGTTGGTGGAGTATTGAAGGCGGTTGAAGTGCAACCTGGGCTGAAAAGAGAGAGCCGATAGAGCAGGTTTGTGAAATCGCCTTACATCGTACTAACACATGGAATTAAGAGGAAAACAAAGAAACAAAGTGAGGAAGAAGCCAAAAATGACGAGGTTAAGGAGGTTGTTGGAGGAAGTGGGACAATTATAATGGAGGAGGTTGAGGCGGGAGGCGAAGGAAGTGGGGATGTAGAAATGAAGGAAGAGGAAGGAAGCGGGCAAGCAAAAATGGAGTCCACTATCGATTTGTATAGACCAATAGAGGAGGAAAAGAAAAAACCCTTCTATGCCTATTACAATGAATCCGGAAGTGATGCCCTTGTAAAGTGAAAGACTGGGGATTATTCTCGGGAATGGTTTGGAGAGATTTTGAAGATGGGCAAGTGGCTTCATGACTCAGCGAGTTATTTTCGCTTAATTGTCCTTATTTTTGCTTATCTTTTCCATGAGGTATTGTATACTTATATTGTTGTTTTTATTTGATGTAGCACATCGATGAGGTATTGACACTGATGAGGCTGCGACAAACCACTAATGATGATCTACTGTATCTCGATTGTGCCATCACCGATGTGGCCTTTGGCCGAACGCTGGTATCGACATATCGTAATTTATTGAAAAAGGCCATTAGTGCATTTATAGCAAAAGGAGCCAAACGAAAACGATCGGGCACAGAAGACTTGGACTACATCCCTAATGATTTTAGGTTTGAAGACAAGATAATGCAGAATGTAATAGGGGACAGGCCCAAATATGGCCATAGTTGGGCAAAGGTTAAAAGTGTCTACTGCATCATCCTGGTCAAGGAAATGCACTGGATAGCAGTTGTCGCGCTCTTAGAGGAAAGTTTGCTGAAGATCCTTTACTGTAACCCAACAATTTGTCGAGACAGGCAGTTGGAGGCTGAGTTGGAGCCACTGTCCGTGTTGTTCCCATGGCTGCTATACGATAGCGGGATGTTTGACCACCTCGGTGATGAAGCATTGACGGGAAAGTGGCCAGTCAAGCGCGTTCCCATCCCAACAAATGAATCAAGGTAAATTTTGTATAAAATTAACTTACATAATACAATTGTTCTATAAGTTGATTCTAAAGCTAATGTGTTCTTCCTATTGCAGGGCTGATTGTGGGGCATATGCCCTAAAATTTATTCAGTTCGACATGACCAACACCCCGATGGATGGATTGAATGACGAAACAATGACCATCTTTCGGGAGCACTGGGCTGTTGAGTGCTTCTTTGGGGAAATGGATCCGTTTTGAGTTACCACAACCCAATCAAAAGGCTTGGAACTTTGACTTTAAATTTTGTAGTTTATGTGATGTTCATGTTTGTACTTGGGTTGTGGTGCTGATGCTGCAAGTGTCATGCTTATATAGAGCTTTACCAAAATAGACAGACTCAGTGAACTTCTCAATCTTGCACTCCATAACTTGGGTTCGTGAAGAGAGAAAATTTTGCAGGTTGCTGGCAAACAATGAGAGGGAACTTCTGAAATTGGCTTGGGCTATCAAAGTAGGCTACCGGCAAGGCATCTGCAATCAAGGCTGGTGGCTAGGAGGAGGCATCTGCAATCAAGGCTATTGGCAAGGCATGGTACCAAACAATGATCTCAGACAGTGATTATACCGAATTTGAAAACTTCTCAAAGTGGCGGCATCTACAATCAAGGCTGTTAGCAAGGCATGGTACCAAACAATGATCTCAGAAGTGATTATACCGAAATCGAAAACTTCTCAAAGTGGCTTAGGATTTATTCTGTTTTGGCACAATTATGAATGATTTTAAGTTTAAACTTTCAATTACATTGATGCCTCTTACATTTTGATTTGTGATGGATTAGATTGATATAAATGACTTCATTTTGCTGCTTATTCTTTTCAGATTTGCAAGGACAATGATTGAGGTCGAAATATATCATAATCATAGTTATTTCAAAATTACCTTTATAAAGACAGATCATTACATAATTCAGGAGAAATGTAGGATTCTTCTCTTTTTCTCATGATCGCTTTAAGCAATATATGAGCGACCACATATATCTCTTAAGCAACCAAGATTTTTCCCCCAAATGATCGCTTAAGCGACCAAGCTTGAAAGTGAAGAATCGCTTAAGAGATACAATGGATCGCTTAAGCGATTCTTCATCTGGGCAGATGCCTCGGAAGAGATCGCTTAAGCGATCAAAGATTGATTAAGC